ATGGCAAAAAATAAAATAAAGTGGTCCTATCATCAAGAGAAAGCAAAAGAAACAATCATCTTTGTCATAACGCCTAGATCCGATGATCTATCGCTAGACATTGACTTAAAAGAGTCGTCACCAATCTTTTTTATCTAGGTGCGATTGACCACCTAAGGAATCTATCCTTTTAAGGAACACCTAAGCTTAAGGGTCCCTAAAAGAATAGGTCGGGGTCTACTAACCAAAACAGGGTTCGGAGTTCGGTTACGTGTGAGGAAGGTTATAGCACCCTCACAACGTCCATCCAAATATAGTACCAGCTTAATTTTGTATTATCCAATAAGCCTTAAAAATTTATCAAGTAATTAATTATTAAAAATTATTCTCAATTGACTCTAATACTTTTAGTAAAAAATTGAGAAAATTCTCTCACCTCAAGAGTATGCAAGGAAACTACTGTTTCACTTGCAGAGGTTCCATCGTCGGATTATTTAACATTAAAAAAAATAAAAAAAATGATTGCTTTAGATATAAACTCTTTTCCTCTTCAAAAATTCATCGCTTTAGTATAAAAAAAAATTGATACTTTTAACTTTTTCTCAAAATATTTTTTAAAACTTATTTTTAAGGAAAATTGATGCTTTCAACTTTTCCTCGAAAATATTTTTTAGAAAGCTTATTTTCAAGAAAAATTAATACTTTCAACTTTTCCTTAAAAAAAAAATATATATTTTTGAAATTTATTTTAAAAAAATAAAAAAATAAAAATAAATACTATGAGATTTTCGTTTTAAATATTAGATGTCCATAATCTAGTAAATTGCTAAAATTATTATTATTTTTTGTACATTAATCGTTCCCAACCTGATCACATGCAGGATTCTAGCTTTATGCTAGAAAATTTTCCTCCACTAATTTGGTATAAAAATATTTATCCTCTTCTAATTCAAATATATTACTGACAATTTTGAAAACCAAAAATGTAGATCTATAGTAAACGGGAAAACGTTGATACTTGGTAATGAACAAAGAATTCAATCTTGCATTATATGTTCTATATTTCTCTTATGCTCTGTAATAGTTACAGAAAAGTTAGAGGAAATGTTAAAAGAAAATTAGATAAAAGGGGAAAAACGATGTATGCTGCTACCTCTATAAATTATAAATTTTTAAAAAATTATCTCAACTAATTATAATTATCAATATACTTATCGTTAATCAACTATTTTTTTTAGACATTCAAACAAAATTCCAAAGTGTATATAGTCAATATAGAACTTGTTGCTGCTTGTCAAGAAATTATGTGACTTACGTTGCCGTCTTTTTGGACTCAGGACTCTTCAGGATATTGGTTACTTATAGGGAAAGCTTTAGTCAATAATTTCACCTTCACTCACTGCTGCTAGAGAGCTCTATATGTACACGAAAGTTCCACATATACATTTATAGTTTTATTTTATATTTGATTGAATAAATATAAGCTAAATTCGTAAATTAAAACATGTAAGTACATACACCAAGTTGAACAACTTTAGAGCATCAAAAATGAACTTGGAGAAAGAAATGCAAAGAAAGAAACTCAATAACTCATTATTCTGCGACATTATTTGTATTGAAATATTTTACTGTCCTTTCCTAGAAGTTTTGTTGCTAAGATTACTTAATGAACTCTTTTCTTCCTTGAAGAAATAAGAGGAGGGATGCTTTGTTCGTGCTTAAAAAAATTCTCCGGATCAATCATTGTCTTCACCCGCATCAATCTATCAAAGTTATTCTTGAAATATTTCCGACCCCAAATACTTGCTTGTGCATAGCTTGTAGTATTACCTTTACTGTTAGTTCCAATGTCAAGATCTCTATAATTAATATATGCCTCTCGTGGAGATTTTGAAACAAAAGAGCTCATGTAACTATAAACTCTTCTAGACCAGTTTATGTACCTTTCAGAGTTTATGTTGTCTTCTTCTTGCCAACCCACGTTGTACAAGATTTTGTATAAATTGCCAGCTCTATGTGGAAATGGAGTTGCAGTCTCTGGAACCTCATCCATTATCCCCCCATAAGCAAAAAAAATGATAACAGCAGATTCTGCTTCATCCTCAGAAAGTGTTGACCATAAACCCCTCAATCCAATTTGAGGGATAGGTTCCTTCACATAGTCAGATTTCGCTTTGTAGGAAGGTCTATTAAGAGGAGCCCTAAAATTCCTGTCAAGCAAAATCTCCAATGATTCATTTTGAATTTGGCTAAAGTAAAGAATAGATTCAATCCAACTCATCTCAATGCAATCTTCCTTTACTAGTCCTAGCTCAGGAAATCTCTCTTGCATTAATGAAACGAGCTCATCAATACCACCAAGAAATAATGAATCAAAGGAAGCTAGAATTGTTTTCTTCCCATCTTGACTAGAATTTACCCTACTTAGAGAAACAGAGGAGTACACTCCATCAGGAAGCTCATGTGCAATGTATTGCCAACGATGAATAAGTTGGATTGCATTTTGTTCTAGGGTCTTGCTAACGGTAAACACAGTCACAGTTACCGGAATAGGAACCAAATTTAGCTTCCATCCGAGGACAATCGCAAAGCTACCACCTCCACCTCCTCGAATTGCCCAAAACAAATCTTTCCCCATGGATTTTCTTTCAAGAATTTTTCCATTTACATCAATGAGTTGAGCATCAATTATGTTATCAGCAGCAAGACCGTATTTTCGAAACAATAAGCCATAACCTCCTCCACTAAAATATCCACCAATACCTACAGTGTGGCAAGTACCGGCTGGAAAGGCAAGAGTTCTACTTTTCAGCAATCCTGTAATAAAGTTCACCAAGAGTAGCACCAGATTGAACCCATGCAACTCTCTTTTCAACATCAACATCAACTGATCGAAAATTAACCAAGTCAATTAAGACAAATGGAACTTCAGAAACATAAGAAAGACCTTCTAAATCATGACCACTACTTCTAGTTCTAATTTGGAGCCCATGTTTTCTTGAACAACAAATTGTTGCTTGAATATGGGATGTACGCAATGGTGTTACAATGACCAAAGGCTTAGGGGTATCTGGTGTGGAGAACCTAAGATTTCTTATAGTAGACTCTAAACAGATGAGTATGAAGAATTATTTCGTGTGTAAATTACTCTAGAAATGGAAGACGAGTCATTTGAACGAAGGGAAAGGCAATGAATAAAATCGTAATGAACCGAAGTTGCCCATGACAATGTGAAGTGAGCAGCAAAAAGAAGCAGCATTAACATTGAAAAGTGAGCAGACTTCATTTCTTAAGCTGATTTTGTGTGTGTAAAGTATATTGAGAGATTCCTTATTTATAGTGTCCATCGTTCGCAGAGAGCAACATTGCTTTCATGTTTTCAAAACAAGTGAACCTCTAGATGAAATCGAAGAGTTTTGTTTGCCTTTTTCTTCTTAACTACAGATGATCGGAAGACTTTGATCAAGCAAATAAATAAAAATTGAATGTGACGTCGCTCATGGTACTTTGTTGGAGAATATTGACTCAAATACTAGATTTTATAAGAGATTTGATTAAACGTTTTTGGATTTATTTGATATTATGTGATGGATAAAAAAACTTGTAAGGTAAGAATTCTAAAAAATAATTTGGTAAGTAAGTTAGAAGTATTATAACTAGTAAGAATTATAAAATTTTATGAAATAAACACCAATGAAGTTAAGAGAAAGTGTTCATAGGTGTATATATTTACATAAAGTAAGATAAATAAGAATGAGAGAATTTATGGGCGTGATGTTTATTTGTTTGAATTAAAAATATTTTATTAAATTAGAGAGAATAAAAAAATTTATAAATAAATATATATATATATATATATATGATTGATTGATTGTTGACAATGTGTTTATAATTTTTTATAAATATTTTCTTTTATCTACGGAGACAGAAAAATTGAATTCCAGATTAATGATTTAATTATATTTTCACTTGTGTGAATGCGAAATTGACAGGAAACGTGGGCCTACACTTTCATCCTTAACTATGATTCAAAGGTTACACAAATATGTGTCATAAAAACATTTCTTAGAATTTTTTAGATTACATAATAAAATCAACAATACTTAATTTAATCTTGTTTCAGATAGCAAAATGATAATAAAAAATATATAGGATACAATTCCAAAAGCCACCGATATTATTAGAAGGCGGTGGCGGCTACCTGGCCTGTCGTTAGAAAGATTCAATTGGTTAACTTGGAAGTAACCCTTGCGGAAAGTTACAAGTGGCACCCTAATTTTTCTAATGGGTATTTTTTTTTTATTAGTTTTGATTTTGATAATTATTTTTTATTCGACAACAACCCCTGAGATTTTAAATATATCCATATAATACAATCAATAATAGTTATTTTTCGCGTATCTCTTAGAATTATTATATTATGATTAATTAATTATAATTTAAAATTATATATAAGATTTATTAAAATTTTATATGAAATTTATGTTTATAAATGATAAATATTTATATAATTTTTTTTATGATTAAATAATTATACTATTATAACAAAAAATTATAAATAAAATATTCCAGTAATTATATATTGTATTTAGCCCCAGCATTAAGGAGCTAGCAAATACACGTTGTCATCTGTATTTCAAATATATTAAATTGATTATTCCAAACAAAAAAGAATAAGATTAACTAATAATGATGTAAAATTTTTTAATTTTATACTTTTTGAACCATTAATTTTAATAAATTTGAAGGAAAAGAGAGACAATTCGAAAAAATTGTTTAATCTTATTTCTTCAATCTATTAAAATTAATGGTTAGAAAAATATGTAAAAAGATGTAAAATTTTTTTTTTCTAATTTTATCTCTTCCCAATAAAAAATGAACAAGTGAAGTAGGTGAGAGAAAAATGATTAATTTATCAAGATTACCATCTTATATATTAATGCTCAAATTTTTAAACTTTACAATTGCATCGTACGATTGATATATAATCATGTTAATTGTTTTTTTTATAATTAAATTAATAAACATATCTCAGCTTATTAAATTTAAAAATCCAACCATAAATGCATACATTATGATAAACAAATTTTGGGCGAAGACCCAAGAGGATGAACGAAAGTTCTCAGGCAGTAATGAACGACTAAAGAACATTGATTCAAAGAAACTTATTCTAAAAATTACTCAAAGAAACTTATTCTAAAAATTAACTAACAATCTTTCTTCTTCAACCAATTAATATAAAAGAGGAGGGATGCTTTGTTCGTGCTTGAAGAAGTTTTCAGGATCAACCAATGTCTTCACATGCACCAACTTATTGAAGTTGTTCTTAAAATATTTAAAACCCCAAATGCTAGCTTGAGCATAACTTGTGTGGCCTTTTTTGTTGTTAACTCCAATGTCTAGATCCCTATAGTTGACATATGCTTGTCGTGGAGATTTTGAAACGTATGGACCCAGGTAACGATAAAATCTTCTCATCCAACTTATATACTTTTGAAATTCCAATTCCCCTTCTTCACCAGTAACGTACATGATGTTGAAAATGTTGCCGGCTCTATGTGGGAATGGAGTTTCAGTTTCTGAAATCTCATCCATTTTTCCTCCAAAAGGTACCAAGTTGATTGAGGCATATGTTCCCTCTTCTTCATAGAACCTTGGCCACATCCCCTCAATTGCAATTTTTGGAATAGGTTCCTGTACATAATCAGATTTTCCTTTAAAATAGGATTTACTAACCGCAGTCCTGTCAAGCAAAACCTCCAAGCGTTCTATTGGAATTTGACCAAAGTAAGCAGCAGATTGAATCCAACTCATTTCAGTACAGTCTTGTTTAACTAATCCGAGCTCGGGAAATCCTTTTTCCATCAATGAAACGAGCTTATCAACCCTGCCAAGAAACAAGGCACTAAATGAAGCTTGAATTGTTTTCTTTCCTTCTTGACTAGAATTCACCCTTGATATGGTGACAAAAATAAATAGATCATCGGAAAGCTTGTGTGCAACATATTGCCAACGATGGATAAGTTCAGTTGCATTTTGTTCCAAGGTCTTTGTGACTGTGAAAACAGTCACAGTTGCTGGAACGGAAACCAACTTTATTTTCCAGTCGAGAACAATCCCAAAGCTACCCCCTCCACCTCCTCGGATAGCCCAAAACAAATCTTCTCCCATGGATTTTCTATCAAGAACTTTTCCATTAGCATCAATTAAGTGAGCATCAATAATATTATCAGCAGCAATACCGTATTTTCTTGACAATGTGCTATAACCTCCTCCACTAAACTGACCACCAACACCTACAGTATGGCAAGTACCAGCTGTGAAGGCAAGAGTTCCACTTTTTTCAGCAATCCTGTAATACAGTTCACCTATTGTTGCCCCTGCTTGAACCCATGCAATGCGATTTTCAACATCAACATCGATTGATCGAAGATTAACCAAATCAATGAGGACAAATGGAACTTCAGAAGCATAAGAAAGACCCTCAAAGTCATGACCACCACTTCGAGTTCTAATTTGCAAGCCATGTCTTTTCGAACAGTAAATTGTTGCTTGGATATGGGATGCATGCAATGGTGTAACAATGACTAAAGGCTTCGGGGTAGCTATTGTGGAGAACCTAAGATTTTGAATGGAAGATTCTAGTATAGATGAATATGAGTTATTGTTTCGTGAGTAGATGACTTTAGAAATAGAAGATGAATAGTTTGAATGAAGGGAAAGACATTGAAGAAATTTCTCATGTGACTGAGCTGTGGTCGCCCATGAAAATGAGATCAAGAGAATGGCAAAAGGAAAGACAAAAGTTGAGCAGAGAGGGAACTTCATTTTCTGGAGGTGGGATTTGCTCGATATATCTATGCTATTGGAGTTGCCATATTTATAGTATTAAGAGTATATGGTACAAAGTTGGACCTACCCAATATGTTTTTTTTAGCAGAACAATAAAGCATTGGCGTCGTTGGTCAAGTTCATATTATGTTTTCAAGTCAACATTTAGATCATCGATTATACAATAGAAAATGAAAACCGAAAAAAAATATTTTTTTTGTTATCTACAAGATGATTCCTTGACTCGGTTGTTGAGTAAAATAACTACTTTTCATCATTTTTATTACACTATACGTCAATGGAAAAACTTAAATAAAATTCTTTAAATGAAGTTTGTAAAATTTCTTACTAGAAATGATTAAATTAAAATTAAAATTAAATTAAAATCAATAGATTGAAAGATCTCATTACATAAATTAAGTGTATAAATTTTTAAAAAAATTTAATAAAATTTTAATAAATTTTGATATATATATTTTTAAATAAATATTTTTAATAATAATATTGATAAAATTTTTACCATTGAATAAGTATTAACCAAATTTTAATTATAAACAACATTTTAAATAATTTTTTACATATTATTGATTTTCATATTAAATTTTATCAATTTATTAGTTTTGATTTTTTATAAAATTTGTATTAAATCATTTTGAAGAAAAAAATTCTTAAACGTTACTTAAAAAACTTCATGTAAGTTTTGTCCATACGTCCATATATAAAAGGGGAAAAACTATGCATTCTTATCAATTAGTATTTCATGTGCCATGCTTACAAAGCAAGGGATTTTGAACAAGCATTAACGGGAAAAGATTCTTGTTTGACAAGGCTTCTAAGTTTAGGATCAAAGCAATGACCAAAAAGAAAAAAACAAGGGGCTATTTGAAATGGGTAGTCGAAAATTTTGGATGAAAAGCAATATAAAAATTTTGGAATATCTACTTTTATGCTGAAATTTGCTGATTTTCTATTTAAAAATATGATAAAAAAATGCAATTAATGTCAATTTTGTCATTGTATTATGAATCAATATAATTTTTCTTTGTTATTTAATTTTGTTGAATTTTATCATTATACTTTTAATTTTATATATTGATTTTTAATATAACTTTGTGGAACTAAAAAATTTACCATTTACATTAGCTAAATATTCCTTAAAATATTCTAATGTTGTGATTTTTTTTTTTTCAAAAATCATCTAACGAAATTGAAAGTGTAGTAACAAAATTTTTTGTTCACATTAACAAAATATTTCATGAAATATTCCAATTGTGTTATTTTTTGTCCAATAATTAATCAAATTGAAAGTACGATAACAAAATCCAATAAAATTGAAATATATTGATAAAATTCAATATTAATTCAATCATAGTATACCAGCAAAATTTACCTTAACTTCAAAAAAAAAAAAAAAAGAATAGTCAATTAGAAGCGTACCTTAATTTCAAAACAAAATAATAGTCAATTAGCAGCATGCTTGAATTGACAATGGATTTTTCAGAAACGATTTTTTTTGACAAGCATAATAAAATAAGGGAAGTTTACTTGTTTCAAAAACAAAGGAAGAGGTCACAAAAGAAGAGGTAGGGAAAAACGAATTGAATTTATTTCAAAGGAGCAAAATTCCGAAGCAGCCTACTAAATTTTGACATTTTCAATGTTAGAGATAGCATACTATAATATCAGAGTCTAACTGTATTTATCTACAAAACGTGGCTCGTCTACCATATTTGTCAAAGAAAATTTATATGCTACTTAATTTCTTATTAAATTATATTAGGGCATACTAGAAAAATCATGTGCCAAAAATAATATTCGAATTTACAAGTAAAATATATATATAAAATGAAATTGGGCAATCACTCGCTTTTCTTGTTGCTTTCTCTAAATCTTCTTTCTCTCCCTCTCTTTTGATAATCGTTATAATACATAGTCTTTTATCTTCATGAAGGAGGGTTATTTATTTTATTTTATTTATATTTTTTAAAAAATTTGTACATATATATATATATATATATACATGCACACATGCATGTGAATTAAATATTTATAGGAGAGAAATGAGTTGAAAAATAAAAAAGTGGAATATATATATATATATATATGCACACATGCATGTGAATTAAATATTTATGGGAGAGAAATGAGTTGAAAAATCAAATAGTGGAACTTTTTGTTTTTATATTACACAAGAAAGTCAATAATTTGGACCTTGTTTTCATTCGCATAGCAGTAATACTATAGCTTTCATATTTTCTCAGAATATGAGAACCTCTAGATGATGTGAATGCGTTTTTTCTTCTTTAACTAAAGCTGATCGAAATACTTGATTGAACGAAGCTTCTTCGTGGGCGTCAGATTGAGAAGGTGACGTCTTTCATGGAGATTTTCATCCCTGACTTTGTCTCGATTGTTTTACATATATGTGTGAATATAAATAATAAATTTTGAAATTGCATAAGGGCACTTCCTGCTTGTTCCTTCCAAGAATTTGAAGATTACACGTTAAAATCAACAATGTTTTATTTAGTGTTGGACTCATAAATACTTTAAATAGGCTATAGGATACAATTCCCAAAGTCATCTCAGGAAGGCGGCCGCCAGCTACCTGGTTTGTAGCTAGAAACTGCAATTGCTAGGCTTAAAATTAAGCAATGAGGGAAAGTTCAAAAATGGCTCCTAACTTTCTAGTGGACAATTGTTCTTTTCATTTATTACTAGTGTGTGCCTACTGCTTTTTAAAATATAAATTATTTAATTTTTATTTTAATAAAATATATTTATTTCGTTCATTTGATCATTGAGTTTTAATTATTTTTAATAAAAATATAATAATTAATGAATAATGTATTTATATTTTTTCAATTATTTTAGTTATTTGAAATCAAAATTTATTTAATAAAATTTTCATTTAATTGTTTAATTATTCAAAAAACTATTGTGTTCCATATTTTAAATATTATTTTTATTATTTAATTTATTCAATTATTTTTTAATCTAACTCTTTTACCCTTTTATATTACATAATAACCATATTATCATTAATAAAATGATTATTTTTCATTTTTTTTTTCACATATAGGTATAGATTTGTTATTGGAGACTTGGAGTTATTAATTATTATTGTTTAATTTTATATTTTTGGTTTTTTTTATTTCTTATATTTTTGGAATTATTTTGATTATTTTATTTTTATTTTTTTTAAAAGTGGCATGAATTAAAATTTTTTAATTTAAACATTTATTCTAAGTTTTTAAGCAATAAAATAAAAAGTAAAAGAATTACTAATTAAAACAAAATAGGATAATTAAAATAATTAAAATTTTAATAAAATAAATAAATAAATAAATAACAGAAAAAGAAAAGAGAAACCTTAACAAAGGGTCGGGTAGAAGGACAAGTCGGAATGCTGGTGCAGGGTGAAGGGTGGCGCGGACAACCTTAAAACACCGCCTTTTTAATTGGTAAACCTCTCTCTCTCTCTCACTCTCATTCCTCCGACTTTCTCTCTCTAAACCCCAAAAGGTCCCAGAAAAGTAAAAGGCCCGTCTAGATGTCTCTCGAGTCTTTTTTTTTATATTGTGATTAAAACAGGCAAAATGGTAATTTTATTAATTTGACAGATGCCAACAATAAAATCATTAAGGGGACTGTTTTAAATATACTAGTAGGATAACCTAGCTTCTTATGATTTGTTACAGAATTGGTAGTTGATTGACTTTTATAGTTACATAAAATAATTATTTAATAGTAATTTAATATTATTAAAAAAAAATTTGTTAAAAAAAATTTGAAATAGATAGACTGTTCAATTTTTTATATCAGGATAAGATATATCGTATCTGATAATCTAAAATAAGTAATTACAAGTGATGCATTTAAGATGTCCTCAATAAATGACCATTAGTAAGACTCGAACTCAAAATTTTTTCATCGAAAAAAATGACTTTAACCGATTGAATCAATCATCTGTTAATTTTATTAGAACTGTAGACAAAAATTGAAGAAGTAAAGACAATGATCTCTTCATCCAACTACTACCAACTTAAATGAGTTGTAAAATTAAGCGAAAAATATTATTTGACTAAGCATATTAAACTCATATTTTTCATTTTTTAAAGTATATTTTTATCTTTAGTTTCTAAATTATAAAGTACACTAAAGATGATAAAATGAATAAAAATTTGATAAAAAAAATCATATAACATATTTCAATATAATAAGTTCTCTTTAGCATAGGCATTGATGAATAATTAAGATATGAAGATATCATCATGTCCAAAAATATAAAATTTTGAATGAGTTTGCCTAGTAAAATCATCGATTATTACAAACTAAAAATTTTTTTAAAAAAATTCTCAACCTTCAATAAAAGATAAATAAGTTATATATATAATATGTAAGTTTTTCAATGACAGATAACATATCATAAATTAAACAAAAGGAAATAATGATAATATTGGTTGAAAAATATATAAAAATATGGCTTCATTTATTAACTATTACTACTACTTTTTTACTTGAAAAGATATTGATTGATAAAACCTGATAGCTTCTAATAACATGAACAACAACAAACAAGTTAGCCATTGCAATAATCCATTTTGGTTTCTCTAGTGAAAGGAGGATGTTGCCTTGGATAACAATGCCAAACATCCAGTATCTAATTAAAGCAACAAGGAAATAACATAAGGCCACAGCTATATAGGCAACTACAACACCTCTCCATATGGGTCCCTTTGACGGCTTCTTAGGTGTAGATGGAATTGTAGCTTGGATCTCCAAAACCACATTATGCCCAGCATTGGCAAAAGCGACATCCCCCTAGGCATTGAAGAAGTCAAAAACTATTCCTGCTACAGTCTTAGCTCTGTAGCCATATTACTCATTTGGCTGAACACCTTTAGCTACTAAAGTTCCCCAAGCAACATAGAGTAACTGTACGTCAAGACAATCACCAAATCTTGCATTAACATAATATCAACATTGACACGTTATTTTTTTTCAGGTTATGTTTAAT